CTGCCTGGCTTAGACTAGAAGAGCAGGGGAACGAGAGTGATTTTGCCATTTACTTTGTAGGCTTTGACATAAATTCAGATTTCAACCTTGTGCTTTACCCCACACCCCCACCCACCCTTTTCGTAGCTATTTCCAGATTTGAAATCTCTCTAGTTTGATTTCTTTAGAAAATAAATCTCAAGGTTTCTTGTGTTTGGTTGGGGGTGGGGGGTAGAGAAGGGAACTGAAGGGGCAGGTTAGGATTTGCCAAGCGGCACAAGTGATACTGATGTAAAGGACAGACAGATGGACCACTGAAACAAAATGGAAAAAGTACCAACCCGAACATACTTGGGAACTTAGGAAAAAAGGTAGCACAAATCAGAGGAGAATATGGATTAATACAGGGTACTCAGAAAACCAGCTCACTATATGGAGTAAAACAAAACCCCATTCCTTTCTGACACCACCTATAAAGGTGAATTCCACAGTGCGGGAAAGGGTTGATCCATTCAGTAGTCAGACTTAAAATCAAATCTCTCTTTTCCATTTGCAACACCTACCCCTTCTTCCCAGAGTACTAAGTACCCCCTGTGAATTGCCTCTCTTATCCTCAGTAGCCCCCTTTATAGGCTCTAGAGTTACAGACTACTCCTCTGTTTTAAGTCAGTGATCAGTCCTTATCTGCTTTTCAGCTTCCAAAAATTTCAGTATCCTTTCTCCACTCTTGTTTTCTTCTTGGGTATCTTTGTCGCTGAGGGTTTATATTTGTTTTATTCCTTTACTATACCATTAGGGCTTTGGAAGAGCCAGAAATAAACTTGTTTAATCTGCTATGTAGGAAATCAAGTGAAATTAAAGCTCATCCTAAAATGCCAGGCCAGTAAGTTGAGGCCCTATTATCTATTAATTGACCTCCCTAATAGTGACTGCTACTTGTCTGAATAAAACGCATTCTCAGTGTAGGCCAGGAATCTGCCCTTTTATCCAAACCACTCCGGCTGTCTGCCTATACCGCCTCTTTTTACGATGCTCTTGAAACTATTAAATCACCTCTCCATCTTGAAGGATGTATTTAGTCTCAAGGTCCCAGCCTCCCTTGACAGAATTTGTTTCTTTTTAAAACTGGGCTTTAACTTTTGAAGTTAAATCTAATTAGGAATAAAATGTAACAGTCATTAATTCAGAATCATTTACTAAATGCCCACTACGTCCCAGGCACAGGGGACACAAAATGAGAACAATAAGGGCCTACCCTCAAGCTGCCCAACAGGCTAGTCTCACAGCGTTGCTTAACTGGAAGTTAAGCCCTCGTCTGAATCATAGAACAAAGATGATTTTGGTGACTATTTTCTTAATTCTCTCCAAAATGGTACATAACTATTACCATGCTGGATGCATCAGAGAGATGCTAATTCATTACACACAATAGATGCCTCAGAGTATTACAGGCTTAATCTGCTTGTAGAACTCCTGCCGAGAAAAACCAATTGTAGAATGACAAATAGCCAGATATTTACAATAGTTTGGTAAGTGGCATGCACCATCTCACTAGTGATAAAATTGTAAGAAAATTTTAAAATTGGTAATAGTAAAAATCTACAAAATATAGTTAGTATTAGGTTTAATCAACAGTTATAAAATTATTTTTCTGAATGTAAATAGTTTTATTTTCTTTTTATTAAAGATTTTATTTATTTGTCAGAGAGAGCACACAAGCAGGGGGAGTGGCAGGCAGAGGGAGAGGCAGGCTCTCTGCTGAGCAAGGAGCCTGATGCAAGACTGAAACCCAGGACCCTGGGATCATGACCTGGGCCGAAAGCAGACAATTAACCAATTAAGCCACCCAGGTGGCCCCCCCACTTTTTTTTTAGATTTTATTTTTATTTATTTATTTATTTATTTTAAATGGTTTGTTCAGTAAATGGCTGCTGTTTTATTTTATTATTTTATTTATTTTTTAAAGATTTTATTTATTTATTTGACAGAGAGAGCGAGAGCAGCAACACAAGCAGGGGGAGTGGGAGAGGGAGAAGCAGGTCTCCCGCTGAGCAGGGAGCCCGATGCGAGGCTCGATCCCAGGACCCCAGGACCATGACCTGAGCCGAAGGCAGACGCCCAATGACTGAGCCACCCAGGCGCCCTAGATTTTATTTATTAAAAGTTAGTTTTAGAAAAGAATGTGGTAGTGAATGAAATATGTTCTGATGATTATCATTTAACGGCTAATATTTATTGAATGCTAACTATGTATCAGGTGCCAGTCAGATCACTTAACATATATTATTTCCTTTAACCCTCATAATCCTACTTTACAAGGTTACTATTTTTATTTTATAAATGATAGAAGCTTAGAAAGGTGACTTGCTCTGAGGTCAAGCACATTAAAACATGGTAGTGAAGGATTCAAATCCATTTTGTCTGGTTCCAGAGTCTGAGCTCTTAAACTTCATGGTATAAAATTCCTCTCCCAGTGACCAAATATTCTCCTTCCCACAGAAATGGGGTAAAAATTATGCTGAAGGTATGGTCTGTTATAAACACTAATATGTACAGTATCATAGGCATGGGGGAAAAATAAGGCCTACATGGAGTGCAAAAATAAAAACAAATAACCTGAACTCTCTATTTTGAATAATGAAAGGAAACAAAGGGAATATATATATATATTTTATAGTAACCAAAACTAAGGTAATACAAGGAGTGTTATATCTTTAAATGTACTAAAAAAAATACAATTTCTAGCTAAATGATAAAAAAATATTTAAACTCACTTAACATAAAAGAACTCTAGATCAAGTATTACCTAAGAGCCAAGAGCTGGCTCACAATTTTACTTTTCACTCAAAACTTAAAACAACAAACCCCCAAAGAACTGTATTAGGGGATCCTTTCCCATTTTTTAAAAATAGCAAAGTGGGGCGCCTGGGTGGCTCAGTCGGTTAAGCGTCTGTCTTCGGCTGGGGTCATGATCTCAGAGCCCCACGACTGAGCCCCACATCAGGCTCCCTGCTCAGTGGGGAGTTTGCTCCTCCCACTGGCCCTCACCCCACTCGTGCTCTCTCTCAATCACTCTCCCAAATAAATAAAATATTAAAAAAAAACCCAGCAAAGTGTATATAGTACACTTTGGTTTATTATTTAAACATGTCAAAAAACAAAACCAATTTGAGAAAACAGATGTTATTACACCTTTTGGGCAATGTCACAACCTTCAAATTTTTCTGTAGAGGCATTTTCTGACAAACTTGGTTTTACAGAATAAAATAGTGGTAGGTCAAGCTGCGAGGTTATTTTTGATAACATTATTTTCCTGTAGTCTGACATCAAAATAGCCTATTATTGTAATGTTTTAAACTGATAAAAATATTTTAACATTTTAATTGTGGTAACAAAACTAAATTAGTACTATTACTAAAAAGATAATGGTAAAGTAAGATTTTAAAAGATTCTTTAGGTAACAGAAATCTCAACTTTTTTCACTCAGGTTTATCAGTGCTTTCTTCTGTATAATTCCTCTCATGTAATTTATTTCTTATTGTTATTAAGCTGGGGCTTTATTTCTCAAAGTCCTATTAATTTGCTGATTGAGCCATACAACACACATTTTTATTTTCAAGTTAGAAAAACGTGTGTAGCTTTCATTACTCCTTAGTTCATTAAATCCCTGTCTTTTGACCCAGCCATTAACATTTTCTTCTAATTGGCAGCTTCTAATGTTCTTTCAGCAAATACTCATTAGCTAAATCCTCAAGTAATTTCATGTCATATAGCTTGTTTTCTTTTCAATATTTTATTTATTTGAGAGAGAGAGAGATAGCGAAAGCAGGAACACAAGCAGGGGGAGTGGGAGAGGGAGAAGCAGGCTTCCTGCTGAGCAGGGAGCCCGACGTGGGGCTCGATTCCAGGACCCTGGGATCATGACCTGAGCCGAAGGCAGACGCCCAACCCCAACGACTGAGCCACCCAGGCGCCCCTAGCTTGTTTTCTTTTAAAATACGGCAAAGAATGCATTCTTTCAAGACCACAAATTCCTTTTGTTCCATGTGGAAGGTCTCTTTCCAGCTCTGAAATGTTAACGTTCTAATGTTTACCAATAGATATATAATTCTTTTAATGTTACCTTCATGTTATCTTCATGTATTCATTTGCCTATAACCCCAAAAATGTGCTTTCCTGACCTAAAAGTTTTAGTTGAGATTAAGTGAAGAAGGCTCCTGAGTCTAGCACTGACCGTGCCTTACACACTGTAGGCTGTTGCTGGGTATAAAGTTGAGTTTGAAAAGAAGATACAGAATATTTAAAAATTTAAATCCGGGGCACCTGGGTGGCTCAGTTGTTAAGTGTCTGCCTTCGGCTCAGGTCATGATCCCGGGGTCCTGGGATTGAGCCCCGCACCGGGCTCCCTGCTTCTCCCTCTCCAGCTCCCCCTGCTTTTGTTCCCTCTCTTGCTGTGTCTCTCTCTGTCAAATAAATAAATAAAATCTTAAAAAAAAAATAAAAATTTAAGTCAGAAACTGCCTAATTCTTTGATTCAAGTAAACTTGTATCCAAATGTGACTATTTTCATTTTTGGAATGAATTTTCATTCTTTTTATAAACATTCAAGCATCAATAAGTTAATTAAGTATAAAAATGAGACTAAGTTACCCAGGAGTCCTAGATCAAGAATAACCATGAAATCTGGGAAACGAGGCTAGTTCAAAGCTTGGGTGCAGACAGGGTGCAGGTGGTAGTTATATATTCCCACACCTATCATCTGACGTTAGGGAATTAAGAGCCTCACATCTCATCTATTGCTCTTAGTCACTAGTTTTGAATGCTTGGTTTTAGCACTAAATGGACACCCACATTAATACTAACCCTCAATTCTTTCTCAGATTCCTTAACTATAGATTCAAAATAACTGACCCAGGCACATCCCAAACAGTGAAATCATATTGAACATATTGGCTGTGTTCTGAATTTGGAAGACAAATATGTAATTCGAGAAATCAAGATTAAAAGCCAGAATTTCATACCTTGTGCAAGCATGTTAAATTCCAAGAACAGTGCTATGTGGTAAAGTTCCATGGCTTCTTCTGCCCTGGTCATGCTTGGCTTCCCTGCGACGAGAGCCTGAACCTCACTGAGACTCCCCACCGAGGGGCTACAGTGCAAAACAGAGAGGTCCACCGCATCAGTATACATACAGTGTAATATAACTTTCGCATATTTTTTTGGTATAATGGACTCATCTAATATAATTCTTGTGGGAGTCCTCAAAGTTCGGTCTGTGATTTCTTCACCAGTCCGTATCCTCCTTTGTAATAAATTCCGAAAAAATGGGGACCGTGCTGAAATAATAGCCTTGTGAGCTTTGAGCTCTTCATCTAAACAGTTCTGATTTCCACCAAAAGCTTCAACCAGTTCAGAGTCTGAAGAAAAACTAAGGACGACATCATAATAACACATGTAATCAAAAAGTCCACGCATATCTACATCAAGGGAATTCGGTGTTCCAAATTCTTCACTAAGCTGAACGAGGATATCAACATTTTGAAACCTTGAGTCCTCCATTCCAAACTCTCCTGTATAAAGGTAGTGTAGCAAAGCAGAAAACATGGGCATGTCTATACCAGCTGTATTGATGTCCATAACAATCTCTGCCCCATACTCCGGTGAGGAAGAAAGCAGTGTTTTAAAGAACGGACACCTCGCTGCCAAAATGGCACGATGAACAGGAAAACAAGTTTCTTGAAATATTAAGTCTACATCGGTACAATACTTGTACTCATAAAGATCGGCCATATCTTTCTGCAACGTCCGAGCTTCTGGTCTAGCCAAACTGGCTTGTAGAGAAAGTTCCTTTAAGGCTGAAGTTCCCTCATATTCCTCCACTAAAGCATTAACATCTCTAACATCCCACCCAGAGAGGAGTTCTCGCATCTGCTTGGCGTGATCGGCAGACCTATTAGATTTTCGACGCTTAATAAACTTCTTTTTGAGGGTGGCAAGGCCAGAGGTTCTCTTTTTTTTGTCTTGTGGTTTCTCATGGCCATGGTCAAGGCTATATAATTTTGATTCACAACCATAGCCTTGCTGAGAATAGGATGATGTCCCTAAGAAGGAAATCAAACAAATCAAAATTTATTTCTTTGTTCTTAACATTCATTTTCAATCTTCACTTTAACACATATTTCATGCTAAAAATTTTTACAGATATTCCTGAACCATTCAAATAAAATTGACTTTTGTTTCTATAAAGGAAGTTATTAAAAAGTTCAAATAATTTACTTCTATATTAAATAAGGAATAGAGACTAACAGAGTAGATTATTATTTACCTGACAAAATGCTTTTGGTTCTCTGGCTATCAAAAACCAGGTATCACAGATTTTAATCAAGGATTTTTAGAAACGAGAGTTAAGCAGATTTGTAAATTAAGAATACTACTTGTATGTAATTGTGAAAAATTTTTTTCTTCTTCTTCTTAACTATACCAAGGCTGCTTTGCATTGGGGAAAATAAATGGACCAGGATGCAAGAAGCTTGTATTCCACTATTTTTACACCAATGGAGATTGCCAGGTTTCTGAGGGCAACTGGCAATTATGGTTAAGACACCAAAGAAAGGGTTAAAAGTGCTATAGCAGCTTGGTCAGGATAAAAATCATACAAGACAGATTTACATTTGTTGGGAAAAAACCTAGATGTTGCAGAATTATTATCTATAATAACTTTTCCACAGTTCAATTCTCTTTTCAGCCAAAAAGACCACTGAAAACACAATTCTATTTATACCCACAAAAGAAAATGAAATTAGAAAAACTGAAAGTTACCTATAAAAGTCTGTTGGGCTTGAGAATTTCCCCCTACCCTCGGGGAACATGAATGAGGATAGTTAGATGCATTAGCACCCATTTTCTTCAGTCACTCAGGCATTCCATCTGCTGGTTCTTCAGAGTATAATCCCAGAGGCCTTTACGAACTTTCAACCCTGGATCCAGCAGCCTCCTTTCATCCATTTCTTGGTATGAAACAAAAATAATTTTATTCATTTTTTCAAATTGCACAGTAAAAAAAAAAGCAAGCTAGTGAAAACTGCTTTTATTTGCAAATGACATGCTGTCAAATTCACATGTAAAAATTTCGGAAAATGTAAACAAATAGTTAAACTTGAATTATGAATCAGTGGTAGCTGCAATTTTGAGCCATAAAATGTACCAATTATATACTTTCTAAGGCAGTGAAAAGTAACAAATCAGACTAATTTAAATATATAATTATGGAAAGAGTATTTCAAATTACAGGGAAAAGTATTTAGACTAAAAAATTTTTCATTTTTTTTTCTTACTCCTTTAGAGGCAACCATCAGTCATTATAATCTAACATTCTAAGCAATTTGTAAACATTGAAGAGGTTGGTGGGAGGGATGGGGTGGCTGGGTGATGGACACTGGGGAGGGTATGCGCTATGGTGAGCGCTGTGAATTGTGTAAGACTGATGAATCACAGACCTGTACCCCTGAAATAAATAATTATATGTTAATTAAAAAAATGTGGAAAAAAAACACACTGAAGAGGTTGATACTAGAGGTGGTCCTCCTCATGAAGCCCTGAAATAAAAATACTGCCTTCTATTACCTGATATTATGACTTAACATGGACAGGGCAGTACCAGTAAGAGATAATTTTAACAATTACAGAATAAATTCCACACCATGGAACCCTAACTCTCAGAGCTGCCGGCAGAAGACAAATGCACAAAGAGAAGACACTCTAAGATTACAGAACAGGGTTAATAGGAATACTGTATCTGTATAGCATCTGGATATATAAAATTTATCTGACTAAAAGGGATAATGGTTTAAGAGAAAACACTATTTTTTTTTTAAAGATTTTATTTACTTGACAGAGAGAGACACAGCAAGAAAGGGAACACAAGTAGGGGGAGTGGGAGAGGGAGAAGCAGGCTTCCCGCGGAGCAGGGAGCCGGAGCAGGGAGCCGGATGCGATACGGGGCTCAATCCCAGGACCCTGGGATCATGCCCGAGCCGAAGGCAGACGCTTAACAACTGAGCCACCTAGGTGTCCCGAGAAAACACAATTTAAAATCTATTATTGGAATTGTTACAAAACCAAGCAGGAGGTAATCTAGCCTCATAATGAAGGATGAAGTGTTTTAACAAATAATAAACACACACACCCCAAATCACAAAAAATATGCTAGAAAACAGAACTGTGTCTAGATTCTTGGAATTCATTTTCAACTCTGTTACTGACATAGCATAACCTTAGGAATTCAAGTTTAAGAAAATCACTGTTAACATCCGTGCTTCCTTCAATCTTTTTCCATTAAATATATTAGAATTTAAGCATAGAATGATCTACCCTTAATGTTCAAGACTGGGAAACCTTCTACAAACTGGATAATATGTCAAGTGACAGTTACTTCAAATCACACACTCACACAAGCCAATTTCTTAGTTGAAATTCACCTACCTACCAAGGAAAACACAGCATGTTAGACTTTTTACTCCGGGTGCCTGCTATTGAAGTCAGAAAGGCTATGGGTAGACAGGGATTTGACAGTGCATTCTGTAAGAACCACCCAGCAAGGAACCCAAAGAGTTTAATATACTATTTTGTAAACATTAAACGGTCAAGAAAATTACTTCCTCCAGCAAAGTTAGTTTTTTTTTTTTTTAAGTTTGGTGCTTAATGTAAGTAAATTCAGTTTTCTATTCTTAAATACTAGAAATGTAGAAAACGCTGTTTTGGGTAATTTTGAACACTGTCAATTTAAAAAAGATTTTTATCATTGAAGTATAGTTGATATTAAATGTTGTCAATTTTATAAAATGGAAATTAAATCTGCCTGTGCTAATTTCAGTTCAAACTTAAGAAACAGTAACTCTAATAAATCTTAGTTTTCAAATTGAGCTCCTTAAAAGCTTTAATGTTCTATCAGGTACTTTCAGTGGTTCTTTAGAAAAAACTAGGGTCCTAGAAGCCAAGATTGTGGCCTCATTTACAGGTCAAATCCTTTTCTCACTGAAGATTTGTAGATAAAACACAAAAACAGGGGTGCCTGGGTGGCTCAGTCGTTAAGCGTCTGCCTTCGGCTCAGGTCATGATTCCAGTGTCCTGGGATCGAGCCCCGCATCGAGCCCACATCGGGCTCCCTGCTCAGCGGGAAGACTGCTGCTCCCTCCTCCACTCCCCCTGCTTGTATTCCCTCTTTCCCTGTCTCTCTCTTTCTCTGTCAAATAAATAAATAAAATCTTAAAAAAAAAAACACACAAAAACAGCACAGAGAATTCTTTTTCAAATTTGAAACATATTAAGAAGAATGCAGATAAAAATGAAAGTCTTTACCAAAATGAGAGACAAAAAGATTAAAAAGATGAGCTTTGAATCTGGAAGTAATGGATGGTAAACAGTGCTGGTAAAGTATCCCCCTTATGGTAGGTCTCTTCTCATTTCCTTCTTTACTCATTCTTGAAATTACATATTGCTTCATTTGTTTTGTTTGCTTTTTTTTTTTTTTTTGAAAGAGGGAGTGTGCAGGCAAGCAGAGGGAAGGAGAGAATCTCCAACAGACTCCCTGCTGAGCATGGAGCCCAACGTGGGGCCAGATCCCATGACCGTGAGATCATGACCTGAGCCAAAATCAAGAAGAGAACACTTAACTGAATGAGCCAACCAGGTGCCCCCGTTTGCTTTTAAATTTTTAAAACCTGCAGAGCAAACTCACTAACACAGCACAAAGTATACTGCTGAAACAAAACAAGTATGGTGCCGTGTTTCCAGATGAAGAAAAATCAGGGTCCACAGTAGTAGACAGAGTTCCTACTTTGTCCCATTGTACGAAGTGTGCACAAACACATAGAATCATTTTCATCTGAAAATTCTGCAGGATTGGTAGGGACACTGTTACCCTGGTCTATCTGAAATTTAAACCTTGTCAAAAATGCCTTTTTCTCTTTTTCCTTTCTTCTTTTTTTCAAAAAGCTCAACTTTATGGTGAGCATAATTAGATATTCTAAAGCAAACATACAAAGGTACAAAACATCATCAGCCCCACTGGAGACACAAGACCACCTAGCAAGCACTAGGGAAGTCACAGGCTGAGATAAAGATGCTTGGCCAACCGCCATTGTAATTAGCACCACAGGGACAGCTGGGGTCTCACCCTGGAGAGGTGACTTGAAATAAAATGTCTTTGGGACTTAGGGACAGAGTCTCTTCCTGGTAGCTCCTATTCAAAGGGAATCCCCTTCAAGATGAACTAATTTGGGCGACATTCGTATTTTCTACTGGAGCTCTAACACTAAAATAAACATAGGTCTTGGAAAGACTTAGTGGGAGAGATTTTTCAGGATCAGATATAACTCTTAAGTCCACCCTGTGTCCCCTGTTTCAAATCCTGGGGTAATCCTGACTGTGCAGTTATAGTACTAAAACCCTATTTCTCAAAATTCTCAGGGAACACTTTTATTTATTAAGTAACCAAAACCCTATGCCATATGGAACACAGTATTATGTTATTTAGTTCTTAATCTAACCCACTGCCTTTAGATGCTGGAAATGAGAATAAGTCACAGTTAAAACTCTCAGGGATGTTTTCATTCTAGGCAAGCTCCGTCTGTCTCCTACATAAGACAGGATGAAATCCAATTTTTGGATGTTATGGCAGGAAAAGAAAGGGAAAGAGAGGGCCCACAGGATGCAAATGGCCCTAGAAAGTGGATTTTTTTCTAGAATCATCATTCTGGGGGAGCTCCCTCTGTTAATAGTCTATATGACCAATCTCAATCAAATGATCTAACTGGCTTAAAACAAGCTTCAGTGATTGCAGCGACCCAACTGAAGGGGAAAAATGATACTGAAGGTAACAGAATTAACAATCCCATGAGAATATTTTTAGAAAAAAAATCAAACCTCTCTGCCTTCCAAAAAACCCTAGACTAGCATTTCCAAAGAGTTTTCCCAAAGTTTGGAAAATGCAGGATTAAACAAAAACTGATAGGTCTCTTTACATATAGAATGTTTTAGCATCTTTAAAGTGCTAAGGTGCATTATGAACCTCCAGGAGGAAGTATTCAGCATGATCTAAAGGAGCCCCTTTGCCCCACAGAGCATTAAAGGAATGTGCTTGTATGATACACTTTGGAAAACCTTGACCTTTGCCATAAAAACACTTTTTACTGCTTTACACAGTAGAGAACAATGAGCATCAAGTGACCTGGGATAGAGTACACCCGTCACTAATGTACCACTTACATGGGGTAAGTCACATTTAACTTCTATGAATCTCTGAAACTGAGATGTATGGTCTCAGCATCTGTAAAATAAAAAAGTTGATATAGGGTACCTACAATTCATTGAAGTTGTATGACTTATTGGTTTGGAAAATGAGGATGGGGAAGGGAGTTATTTCTATATTAAATCTTAGTGTACAGAGGGGAAAAAAGGCAATTGGATTTTGGATTTTAAACACGCTTTCTCCTTAGTCTGATTATTAGCTATGGTTATAGAAGGACAGGAATGTGGGGGCACATGTGAATATGAAAAACAATTCATAATGAAAGAGAAATGCAAAACTTCACTCCTGTCAAATCTAAGGTGACCATATAATATACCATCACACCAGAATGCTTGAGGGTGAAAAGGGGTACAAACCAGATGGGATGCCAGAACATATACAGCCTGGGTCTAGTGGGGCCAAGTGGGATGAACGGCCACCCCTAGAGCCAAATCTCACACTTGCAGAGCTAGAAATAAGACGTTTAAAAAGAAAACAAACAAAAACCAAAAATTTCCTAAAACTGAAGTTAGAATACTAAGACTTATGTAGACCTCATTCCCCAAGCATATTTTACCTAAGGTAACAACTCACATTTACTGAGGTTTTACTATGTTCCAGACTCTGTTCTCAGAACTTCGCATGTAATAACCCATATAATCCCCCCAGTAACTTTTTACTAATGAGGTTTAGAGGTTAATAACTTGCCCAAGATTAAGT